CCTCAGCCGTCAGCCCTCACGTTCCTCACCTCTCTTGCTGCCCTCACACGCCATTGCTCTCTGAGACTGAGATTGCTGTGCAGCCTGTGCTCCTTCCTTCTAGCTCCGGTTATCTCCCTCATTTTCTTTTCTCAAAAACTTTACTGAACTCCACCACTCTCTCTGGTAAGCTCCGATTTCCTTCCACCTCTTCTTTCATTTCGATTACTTTTCGTTTCTGCAAATTAGATTTTTTGGTTTGTTTTGGATAATGGGTTTTGCGTTTTGTTCATGGGTTTTGTTATTGATTTAGTGTACAGAGTATTGATTTAGACCCTTATGTTGATTTCTTGGAATCTGTTTGGGTTGGTAGGAAGAGATTCAACTCTGGGGTTTTTTTAATTTTGAGTGGAGATTGAAAACCCAGAAATCAAAATTTGGACTTTTTACGAATTTTGATTCGAATCTTCTGATTTGTATTGTCTTAGAAAAACCCATTAATCTGAATACAAGCTTTTTACTTTGTATGCTGTCTCTCTCTAAATCTGGAATTTCTATAATCTTTGGTATGCATCTTCTTATTTACTAGGTCCAATTTGTGGGTATGACTTTCCCATTTGTGGTTGATCTAACATGACATAAAAGTTGAACGCTTACTCTCTATTAAAAAGATATCTTCATGTAACAGTCCTGGTAGACCTCCATTCATTTCCATCAAGCCTCAACAATCTTATAAATCACCTTCTTTGAACTAGTTAAAGTCTATAATGCATACCTGAAGAACTTTGGAAATATACAGATGTGAATTGTGGATGCATATCTAATAATGCTAAACCATAGTGTATAACACACATAAATGCCGCTGCAATGGTTGATACTCATAATTATTGGTTTTTTGGTATGTATCATATATACCATATAGTGATATGGGTGATATCACCCGTATGTCATCAGATGGTTGTAGGAGGTGTCTTAATGACATCTCTAGGATAGTGTTTGATATCCTAGACGTTATGATATTTGTTATAGGTGAGAGATTTACGAGGTGCATAAGCACCAATGCCACGACATACTAGGTTTTATTATGTGTAGTGGCTAAAATCACCATCTGCAGTGTTCTAGGTTCATGTTGTCTAACCCTTGGAATAAACATACTCTCTCTAGGAGTGAGTCTTCCGTTCTTTTTTTTTTTGTGTTACTCTGATCACCATCCCAATCATGTATGATTATGGATGTATAACAGTGACCCTATTCTCTAGATTTGAGAATATGTGGCTTATATTTATTTCACAAGATCAAGTTGTTCCGGAGTTTTCCCCTTTTTATGTATCCAGCTTTTGAAGGTTACAAAAAGTGGAGAAGAGATGGGGTTGGAAGTAAAGGTGGGTCGGAGTGCTTTTATAAATTCTTCGTGGTAATTTGACTATAAGCTAGTGGGAAAGTAGTTATTCTGCTCATATTCCACTTCCTAAATGTGGAAGTTATGAGACACAAATTCTAAGCAGTAAGTTGACTATAAGCTATTGGGGAAGTAGTTATTCTGCTTATATTCCAATTTTCTACATATGACAGTTATGACTAGTGGATTTCAGATTTGTCAGACTCTTGACTCATTTGATACATTAGATCTTTCATAGGAGCTTACTTTTTGCATTTTTAGTTACTTTTTGCATGTTTGTATCAGTATTGGATAGTATGAGTATTTCTGTATGACTAAGTTTTCAAAGCCAATCCATACATGAACGAGGCTCTTTTGTTTTAGTATACTGAAACTTGAGGAAATCAAGTGCATGTTTTACTGTATTTCTAGCAGCAGTTATGTGCATGATTCGTTTAGTTTATGAAAGTCTTTAACATAGCTCTATGTTCCAAGTTGTAAGACCTTTTGGGATTGTTTGGTGTCTAGGATTGAATTGGAATGGATAAGTCATAAAATTCAAGGTATATTGAAGGTAATGGTGCATGCTTTTTCATTTTTAGGGGATTAGAAGTGGAAGATTAGACATGAAGGGAACTTGACCCTCCTCGTCCTATCATTTGGGGGGATTGGATCTTTCTTCTACTTTTTGGTTGGACACAATTTTTCAGTATCTGCCTTCAAAATATATTGAATATAGTGAAATATTTAATCCTAGACACCGAACGAATCCTTTGTGCTTTTTTTTTCCTTTCTTTCCAGTTTGAATTTAAGGCACGGTTTGGAAATTTGGAATTAAAAGTTCATAAATTTGAATTTAGTGCTTGTTAGTTATAGAACATTAGTTTGAATGCAATTACCGTTTGGTGCTTGTTGGTTCATTTTTCTGCTATATTTTAGACTTTTAGGAATTTAAATTCTAAGCATTTTCTCGTTCCTTTTATGTCAACAGATTTAACAAGTGCTTTTGGTGTTGTTTAAACACTTTTTGGAGGATTCCTTTTCGTCTTTGTGTGTATAGAGTTGGTGATAATGATGCCATTTAGGATACTGGATTAAACCCCTACAAAGAACCAACTTTCTCTTTCCCTCAGTATATACCTTAGAACTCATTTGTCATGGTTTTTTAATCCTCAAGATGGTCCAAACTTAGGAAAAAAATGAATTATTTATATTTGAGAAAAGAGACTCGATAGAAAAAGAGTTGGATATTCTTTCATGGTGGAAACTGGAGCAATTTCGTTATCCCGTACTTTCTCTATGGCTTCTGATGTGCAACAATTCTATCTCAATCGTTGCTCAGAATCAGCATTTGTATTAGTGTAGGGTTGCTTGATCAATATCCGAAGTTCTTTGTTGCCTGAAACTGTTAAGCCTTGCTATGTACTGAGATTGGCTTTTGGCAAAGAAGGTAAATTTTATATTCTTTGTTTTTTTTGTTATATAATAGGTATAATTGTTTTTCCTTTTTTCTTTTTATGTTTAGCTTAGGAAAGAAGGTGCTGACTTGAAGAACTTACTGAAGAAATTTTTGACATGAGCCTTAATGAAACTCGGGACAATGCTCCAGTAATATTAGTCTTGATTAAACATGGTATGTATTTTAACTTGTTCTTTAAAATATTTTTCTACTTAATCTGCATGGTAATACTAGCTGAGAGATATTTTTCTACTTAAATTGCATGTAATACATAAAGGTGAATGTTGAAGGCAAAAAGCAGCAGAGGATGCAATACAAGAAGGTTGGCAAAAAAGCAGTAGAGGATGCAATGCAATAAGACGAAAGAGAGCTAATTGAAAAACTTTTGTTTGGAACAAAGTGATACATGTGATGAAGAACAAAGTTTACGTATTGCTTGATGTGATTTCATATTTACTTATATACAAAACTTTAGTATACGTTACAAATTAATTGATGTGTAAAACGTAAATTACATTGAGTTATATCAAACAATGAGTTAGTTGTAATTCGATATCAAACTTGCAATAAACGAGAATCAAATTTAAAAACTTTCTACTTTCGAAAATAAATATCACTGGACGGTAGCCGGATTAATGCTTTTGATTTAATTGCACAAAATGAGGAGCCAAACCAAACCGTCCATCACATTCTTGTTTCCCATCTCTTCCACCAAAACACGCTTCTTTAGCACTCGTCTCCTCTCTCTCTCTCCTCTCTTTCTCTCTCTTTTTTGTCACATAGGTTGTAATTGATTTGGATGAAATGTGAAAAAAAAAAAAAAAAAAAAAAAACATGAAACGGGTGAAACGGGTGAAACGGGTGACCCGTTAGCTTAACGGGTCGGGTTTGGGTGACCCGTTAAATTAACGGGTCGGGTTCAACCCGACCCGAACCCAATAAACCCGACCCGTTTACAGGCCTACATATATATATATATATATATATATATATATATTTATGTTTGCGCAGGAACCTATGAACTTGAAGTTCTTAAATCTTTCAAAACTCGAAGTTTTCGAAATATGCCTTTTGAAAACCCTGAAGTTTTCTTAAAACATCACCCATGAAAACCCAAAGCTTTATGTAAATTTGAACCAATATATGTCTATTAGAGCCCGAATGTTCTACTCCTATGTAAATGGATTAATTTCCTCTATTACACTAACCACATTCTCGTCCATTTATTTTATGCAGGGACATGTCAAATTTGAACAAACTCGACTTCAAGTCTTTAAAGGTATCTGGAATAAACTACCTCAAGTGGGTCCATGATGTGAAGCTCCACCTCACCGTAAAGAATTTGCGACTAGCCATTGAAGCTGAGATGGATAACCTAATTGGCGAAGCTGAGAAAGCCACTACCATGATCTTCATCTGAAGACAAATCTATGATGCACTACAAACTGAGTATCTTGCTAAGGAAGATCCACGAGCTCTTTAGGTCATTTTGGCCGATCGTTTCGATCACTAAATAGACATCTTCTTGCATGAAGCAATACACGACTGGCAACATTTGCACTTCCAAGACTTCAAGTCTGTGAATGAATACAATTCTGAAGTTTTTTTTCAAGTTCTGTAACGATGACATGATAGAAGAAAATCTCCTATAGAAGACTTATTCGACCTTCTCTGCAACCAATATTGTCCTGCAACAACAATATAGGGCTCAGAAGTTCACTAAGTTTTCGAATTTGATCTTTGTTTTACTTCTTATTGAAAGTATAATCAACTATTGATGAAAAATCATCAAGGTCGACCTACTGGTGCGACCACTGTGCCTGCAGCACATCATAACGAGAATCGACGCCCGAATCGCTATTCTAGGCGTGGTAAGTGCTACCAGAAGCCACCTCATCAAGATCAACAGAGCCAAGGCCCATCTAAGGGAGGAAAATGAGCCCAAAAGAGTTATAACCTCGCTCCCCAGGCCTCAAACTTTAAGAATAAGGGAAAAACACCTGACACCATGCATGCAGATATGTGCTATCAACCAGATTGGGAGCAAAAAAGAAGAACTGCCAGAGCCTAGCAACTTTCATATAAACATGGCGTATGTGCTATCTGCCATGTTTGTTGCCCAACCAAATCAGCCCGCCGCCATGGAAGGAGATTATGTAACAACTGAGCCAATGATGGCTCATGTTAATGTGGAGATAGCGGAATAAGGAGAGTCGGGAAAAGCTACATCATCTGAAACATCCAAAGATGGTCCTTTAAGGATCTATACAGACAAGATGGTGTTCAGTCGCCCGAACACTTCACTTGTCAATCATCTGAAGCCCATATATGTGACAGCCCATTTGGAGGGGGTGCCCTTCAAAAAGATTTTGATTGATGGAGGGGCAGTTGTTAATGTACTACCAACCAAAAAGATGAAAAAGTTGGGGAGAGGCACAGATGATTTTATTCCTACAAACCTCACAGTTTCTAGTTTCTCGAGCGCTATCACTAAAACTCTTAGGATATTGCCTTTAGAAGTAGATCTGGGGTCTAAATAGATCATGCTGGCGTTCTTTGTGGTGGACTGCACCTCCACCTATGAAGCCTTACTTGGAAGAGATTGGATCCATCAAAGTCTTGCTATACCCTCCACCCTACATCAACAGGTGGCTGTGTATCATGAGGCAAGCGCAGAAGGGCCAGGCTTTTGGGAGATGGTAGAGGCCGAATCACGGCCATTTCTTCCCACAGCCAATGTAGTAAAAGCAAGTTTCTACAATCCCAACGTAGGAATCTTGCAATGTTCGGGAGCAAATGAGAACAGCCGCCCTACGAAGGTGACGGCCCAAAAGCTTCTAAAACAAGGAATGCTCATTACTAGAGAGAAGTGGGATAGACCTTGTATTGTTCCAACACCCCTACACCATCAATGACAGAAAAAAAAAGGAAGGATCAAGTAATGGTAGTCAGATCCCTGATTAAACAACTGTTGGTGTATGGGAAAGAAAAAAGACAAGAAAATGAGCTCTTAGACAGAGAAGAGCAGGGATGGCAGGTAGGAGCTTCAACCAGCCAGGATGAAAACAAGGAGGAACCTTGTCAAGAAGGATTAGAAAGGGCCATTCAAATGGCCGAGTGCATATATGACCTAGACGAGCCAGACGACTTGCCCGAGAGCCCGGAGCTAGTCAAATTTTTGTGTGCAGAACCTGATAAGCCACCACCAGAGGTCCAGGATCCTTTGGAAGTTATTGAGCTAGGAACAAATGAGGATCCAAGACCAATACAAATCAGTGGTTTGTTGGAGAGTGGGGATCGGGCACAAATTATCCGTCTCTTGCAAGAATTCAGGGATTGTTTTGCTTGGCATTACACTGAGATGCCGGGCTTAGATGCAACCTTGGTGGAACACATAATGCCCATCAAGAAAGGATATAAGCCGGTTAAGCAAACACCACGAAGGATGTCGAAAGAGATAGAGGAGAAGGTCAAAGAAGAGATTGAGAGGCTCGTAAAAGCCGGATTTATCAGGCCAGCCAAATATGTGGAGTGGTTAGCCAACATTGCACCCATTTTAAAAGCCGTAACAAAAGCAGTACGATGTTGTGTTGATTACAGAAATATTAATGGCGCTACACCTAAAGACGAGTATCCCATGCCTATGGCAGATCTTTCCATAGATGCAGTAGCAAAACATAAAGTCTTATCTTTTATGGATGGAAATGCCGGGTATAATCAGATAAAGATGGCTCCGGAGGATATACATTAAACAGCTTTTAGGTGCCTTAGGCATGTGGGGGCATATGAATATCTGGTCATGCTCTTCGGGCTCAAGAATGCTGGTGCAACCTACCAAAGGGCGATGAATGCCATCTTTCATGATCTGATTGGCCATAATATGGAGGTGTATATTGATGACATCGTGGTGAAATCCAAGATAGAAGAGCAGCACCTGATAGACCTCAAGTAGGCATTGACAAGAATGAGGAACCACAAATTGAAGATGAATCCAAAGAAGTGTGCGTTTGGAGTAAGAGCGGGCAATTTCTTGGGATTCCTGGTTCATCAAAGAGGGGTAGAAGTGGACAAGAACAAAACACGGGCAATAATGGAGTCACCTTCACCCACCAACAAAGTGCAACTCCAGAGGCTACTGGGCAAAATTAATTTCTTACGAAGATTCATTGCCAATCTAGCAGGCAAGATCCAGCCGCTGACTCCTTTATTAAGATTGAAGGATAAGGAGAATTTCGAGTGGGGACCACTGCACCAAGAGGCTTTCGATAGTATCAAAGCTTATTTAACTTCTCCGCCAATGTTGGTACCACCTCAAAGGGGAAAACCCTTAAAGTTATATATCTCCGCTTCAGATAAATCAATTGGGAGTTTGCTAGCTCAAAATAATGAAGGCGGGAAAGAGCAGGTCGTGTACTACCTCAGTAGAATTCTGACCGAGGTAGAAACAAGGTATTCCCCAGTAGAGAGATTGTGCTTAGCTCTGTATTTTACTGCCAATAAGCTGAGGCATTACATGTTGCCTTGTCACGTACACATCATCGCCAAGACAGACGTGATAAAATACATGTTGTCAAAACCAATGTTAACAGGAAGGATTGGGAAGTGGATTCTAGCATTATCAGAATTCAGCTTTCAGTATGTCCCCCAAATAGCAGTGAAGGGCCAAGCAATTGCTGACTTCTTGGCGGAGCATCAAGAATATCGAGATGAGATAATCAATATACCAGGAACCCTGGAAGTTACTAATGTTTGGATCCCGCCAGGCAAAGGGATCTCAGGCAAAGAGGAGTGGATCCAGCAGGAGATAAGAAGAGTGGCTGGTTTGTGGATTACTCCTTGGAAGCTGTATTTCGATGGTTCCTATACTCAGAAGGCTTCAGGAGCTGGGATTGTAATTATCAACCCTCAAGGGATTTATCATTACTACTCATTCATCTTGGATTATCAAGGGAATACCAACAATCGGGCAGAGTATGAAGCCTTAATAATTGGTTTGGAAATCTTGATGGATCTAGGAGCAATGGAAGTTGAGGTGTTTGGTGATTCAGAATTGGTAATAAACCAACTAAATGGGGAGTTCAAGTGCAGACATATCACCATGGCCGGGTATTATTTGGCAGCCACGCAATTGCTGAGTTATTGGGATTCTGAGATATCGGTGAGTCATATTCCCAGGGGAGCCAACTTATCAGCTAATGAGATGGCGTAATTGGCCTCAAGCATGCCAATACAGGAAAGAAGATATGGGTTGGATGTCGAGATTCAAAGGAGAAATCTTCCTTCTATTCTGGAAAGGGGATTCAGCCTGGATGTAATGATTCAGGAATCTGAGATAGAAGATTGGAGGTCGCTCATCATTCATCATTTGAAAGATCCCTCTTCACCCGCCAGCAAGAAGAATAGACAGCAAGCAACTAAGTATGTCTTATGGGCGAAAGACCTGCTAAGAAAAACTCCAAATAGGTTATTATTGAAATGCTTAGGCCAAGAGGAATCCATGAGAGCAATGGCCGAAGTACATGAAGGAGTATGTGGAACACATCAGGCGGGAACGAAGATGAGGTGGTTACTTAGGCGGGATGGTTATTTT